GTTGAGTTCGTAGGTGTTCAGAATGGTTTGATCCCTATTCAGCTGAATTCCTGAGACCAGACGAAATCCAGGTCTCCTACTCCTCCACCATCTTGCCTCAGTCTTTTTTTTTATGATGATTTATTTATTCATTTGAGAGAGAGAGAGAGCACTCGCACAAGCTGGGGGGAGGGGCAGAGGGAGAGGGAGAAGCAGATTCCCCGCTGAGCAGTGAGCCCAGCGTGGGGCTCAATCCCAGGACCCCAAGATCATGACCTGAGCTGAAGGCAGATGCTTAAGCAACTGAGGCACCCAGGTGCCCCAATACTAGTTCAGTCTTAACAAGGAAAGAGATTCTGACACACGTCGCAACATGGATGAACCCGGAGGATATCATACTGAGTGAAGTAAACCAGTAATAAAAGGAAATGCACTGTGTGAATCCACTTCTGTGAGGTCTCTAGAGTTGCCCGATTCATGGGAACAGAAAGCAGAATGGAAATCGTGGGGGGCTGGCGGGGGGAGGATGGGGAGTTCATGTTTCATGGGGACAGCGTTGCAGTTGGGGTAGATGAAAAAGTTCTGGAGATGGATGGTGGGGACGGTCACGCAATAATGTGAACATAATGTACTTAATGTCACTGGACCATATGCTTAAAAATGATGAAGACGGTAAATTCTATGTAGTGTGTATTTTACTGCAATTAAGGAAAAAAACCCACCTAAACCAAACCTAGTTCAAAAAATCTGTAGTGCTGCTTCTAACGATCTCCCACGGAAGAGGTGGCCAACCTTCTCACTTGTCCATTCTCCTCTGCTTAATTTGCAACAGCAAATGACTCGGAGTCAACAGATGGATGAGCTCCTAGATGTCCTCATTGAAAGTGGAGGTAAGACTGCCCTGGGGATACTCTGCAACTGCTTGTGCTCTAGGGAGTGAACCCTTAGGACCAAGGTCAGGTGCTCACGGGAAGTCAGACCCAAAAGCCATGAGGGGGTCAAGTGTCACTTCTTGGGAGCTCGCTGTCCATGCTGGAGCAGGTGTAAGAAGGCCCAGTGGGTGATTCCTCCCTGACTCTGTCCCTCTGTCCCTAGCAGCTTTCTCACCAATCATTTTATCAGTTGGTGTCCTCAACTCGGTCCCTGTTTCCCTAAGTGTTTTCCCTTCAAATCCGTTCCTCTTTGCCTTTCTAATCCCAATGTCCCTATCCTCTTAAATAATAATAAGAAGAGAGCAGACAAAGCAAGTTTTGTGCTACCTACTCAAAATGAAATTCAATTACTGATCTCCCACTGGATGGTCCATTCACGCTTAGATGTCATTCCAGCTTGCAACCAAAAAAAAAAAAAAAAAAGACCAACATGTTCTTTTCACCTCCTTTTTAGTCATTCGTTTATTTTTTCAAAATTACATAGTATGTGCCCAGAATCTGAAACCACACAGATGAATAAGATCATGTAAAGAGAACATGTAGATAGAAAAAAACAAACAAACAAACAAAACCCTCAGGTCTGAGACTTTCGATAACAACCTTGAAAGTTCAGAGAAGGAGTGGCCAGGCATTGTACTGGGCTCAGTGCTGCACCTGACAAAGTCCCCACCTTTGTGGAGCTTAGAGTCTGGTAAGGCAGAATGGACAACAGGCAAGTAAACCAGCAATTTCTCCTTGTAGCAAGAGGAAGAAGGAAAATATGGGCCTACGTATCTATACGTTTTGCAATGGAAAGAGGAGAGGGTGATATCAGACATTCTTATATATTTTTTAAAGATTTTGTTTATTTTGGGGAGAGAGAGAGAGTAGGGAGAGGTGCAGAGGGAGAGGGTGAGGGACAAGCAGACTCCCCGCCAAGGGCAGAGCCCGACCCGGGGCCCCATCTCCCAACCCTGAGATCAGGACCTGAGCTGAAACCAAGAGTTGGACTCCCAACCGACTGAGCCACCCAGGCGCCCCAAGACACCCTTATATTTTTAACGAACTATATGGCCAGGTCAGCAAAGGTAAGGGTTCAGGAGGGGAGCACAGGAGATTTGGGGACAGAAGAATCATTTGAGGGCAGTTCTAAATCAATCACGAATGAATTTTCCGGAGAAACACAGTAGGAGGCTAGGCTGTATTAAGTGCCATCGGTAGGTTTGTTATCATAAATCTAAAGTGAGACCAGTCAGCTCCATTGTATCATTTTTTTCTCTTGCAACCACGATTCATCCAGGTGTGGTTTTTTTTTTTTTTTTAAGATTTTATTTATTTGAGAGAGAAGGAGCGAGAGGGAGCATGAGTGAGGAGAGAGGCGGATGGAGAGGGAGAAGCAGGCTCCTCACTGAGCAGGGAGCCTGACTCGGGGCTTGATCCCAGGACCCTGGGAACATGACCTGAGCTGAAGGCAGACGCTTAACCGACTGAGGCACCCGGGTGCCCTTGGGTGTGGGGTTTTGCCAAGGGAGTGCGGTGCAAGGAGAACAGAGCAAGGGGATTGAGGATATTTATAAGACAGTAACTCTAACCGTGGAGCAGAGAATATCAGCCTGACAGAGAAAGAAGTGAGAGCCCAGGGGGCTGATGGAGGGAGAAAGTAGTAGAGTCCATAGGTTGGAGTGACAATCGGAAAGTGACAATGGCGTGGCACCCCATGACTCCTCTTCCGGCTCCCACGTAAATGAGCCCCCACTGTGGGCGTGAGGAGGATGCAGTGTCCTCAGGGGACAGCCAGGTGTCAGTGAAGGAGCAGGTAAAGGAACCTGCTTTGCGAGGTTGCTGATCGGAGTGGAAGTTCCAGAAAGAAAGGGCTTGGGGAGAGACCAGGGAGAAGAATCGGACACAGACAGGGCACTTTAGGGACGAGACTGGGTGATAACCGGAGAGACGCATCCATCTTGTGTATAAGCGTGACTCCTTCATCCCAAAGATCCCTATTGCAGAACCGGAAGTGGTTTGACAATTCCCACTCTGTTTTGCCAACAGAAATGCCAGCTAACGCTAGAGAGGATCATTCGTGTCTTCAAAAGGTCCCCAAGATACCCGGGTCTTCCCGAAGCCCCCCAGCTGCCCTGCCCAAACCCTCGTCTTCGGGCGGCCAGCTCTCCTTTGACCACTACGGCACCGAGAGTGATGAGCACCTTGAAGTCTTATTAAATTCCCAGAGCCCCTTAGGGAAGGTGAGCGATATCACCCTGCTAAAAATCGGGAGCGAAGAGCCTCCTTTCGATGGGATAATGGATGGATTCTCTGGGAAGGCAGCAGAAGACCTGTTCAGCGCCCACGAGATCTTGGCAGGCCCCCTCTCCCCGATGCAGACTCAGTTCTCCCCCTCCTCTGTGGACAGCAGTGGGCTGCCGCTAAGCTTCACTGAATCTCCTTGGGAAACCATGGAGTGGCTGGACCTCACTCCGCCAAGCTCCACACCAAGCTTTAGCTCCCTCGGCACCGGTGGCCCCAGCATCTTTAACATTGATTTCCTGGATGTCACGGATCTCAATCTGAATTCCCCCATGGACCTTCACTTACAGCAGTGGTAGAATGCATGGGCAGAGGCACCAAGGGGGACCAGTGGGAATTCCATGGGGGAAAAGCAGACAACCAAAATCACTCCTATCGTCCAAAAAGAGGAGGAGGAGGAGAGAATTTCAAAGAAACAGTGGAGACTTCTGTGACCATCAATGAGAGCAAAAAGGAGTCTTTATATATATATATGATGTAATATTTACCGACATTCAGTAACTGTCAATGATTTCAGCAATGCATTCAGAAATGTGCTTTCTCAGATCAGGAATGCCAAAAAAAAAAAAAAAAATTCTTTCACTGCCTTTTCAAACGCCAATATTTTTGCAACCCCTGATTTTTCTCAGGCATTGTTCGGGCATATTCTCGCATCGTAAGCCTCTCTTGCAGATTTATTAGATGTGGTGCGGAAAGGAGATGGAGCTCTTTTGGAGTACAGGGAATGTAATAGCATAACCATCGACGTTTCTGGAAGATAGACCCATGGTGGAGGCTGCTTGCCATTCCCTCCCCTCTTTGTCGTTCAAAGTAGAAGTCAGGTCCCACTTCTGTTAGGTTCTTGAGGTAGGATAGAGGGACAGAACCAATCCATTCCCAGGGAAAGGAAATCAGCTGGGCCACAAAGCTGCCCCCTTGTGGTGATTCCAGCTGGGACCCAGTACTCTATGTGGTCACGGATAACAATGACCCTACATTTGGTCCACAGAACCCCACTGAGAATTTCCCTCCTTGTCAACCAGTCACCAGATCACTCCCACTGTCTCTGTGAAGCAGGAAACAGCCAAGAACCTTAAAGCAAACTAAACCCAAAACCTCCTGCCATGGAAAGTTCCCCAACACAACCCCCTTTAGTTTCAAAGACTGGAGGTGACCCCATAAGCAGATGGCAAGCCATACCAGGGATCATTCAGACAGCGCTAGAAAACCTTGTTTCATGTGTCACGAGAATAAATACCATGGGTTCCTACAACGGGATGGCGATTTATGGAGGTCCAACTTTTTTTGGGGGGGAGGGATTTGGGGTCCACCTCTGTTTATCTTTCTCCAACTTTTCTTTCAAGATACCAATCTTTTCTTGCTCCTCTTTTGAAACTCTTTTTTCTGCCCCAACATCAAGAGGACTCCTCAGATCTAACAAGCTGCCATACTCCTAATAAAGCCATATTTTAAAAAGCTAAAACTCCATGTTCTCCCGGAGAACTCATTCTCCATATGCATCATTTGCTGCAAAAAAAAAAAGTCAAAAGAATGTCCTTGGGGAAAAAAAGCAGTGACTTGGCCCATCAGTCCCAAAGTTCATTCTGCTCTCATTTGACTTACAGCAATCAGTGATTTGGGTGGTGTTGGGGAAATTGGAAATCATTACTTTGTAAAGATAGAGCTGAAATGATATTTGCAAGGGGAGAGGATTGCAGGTCTGGGTCGGTGAAAGGAAACACAGTTGCACATGGAAAACAAGGAAAGGCAGAAAAGACAGTGGTCTCGTGTGCATTCCTCAGTACCTCGTGCTTTTGCTGGGACTCCAAACACTCAAATGACATAGTGTTGCATGCTGTAGAAAGTAGCTGTTGCTGGTTGGCTGGTTGGTTTGTTGTTGTTGTTGTTGTTGTTTTTAATTTAAACCACTAAGGCACTGTGTTCTTCTTTTGTAAAAAAAAAAAAAAAAAAAAAATTCACTGTGCACTTATGCAGAAGGTAACCAAAAATGTTGTGATTTTAGAAGTTCTCTTTTTGATAAACCAAAGATTTAGAAGTCATTCCATTGTTAACTTGTAAACATGTGTGAACACAGAGTGTTTTGGGGGGACTGCTACTCAGAAAGTTGGCAGATCTAATGGGGTAGGTATGCATATGTGTGTAGATATATGCATGTATATATACATGCATGTGTATATATGTCTACACGTATGTGTATTTGTGTGTCTTTTGAAAAGCAGTGTTACAGAGCATTCTATACCAAAAGCCCTTAAGCCCCCAATTTGCTGTGAAATGATACTTGGCCTTTCTCACTATGAGTTCCTGATTCATCAACAGACTACACGTTGCCTCTCTGTGTATGACTAACGGCTCCAGCCCGATGACTCACACAGCCACTTGCTCACCATGAACGCACTCATCTTGACAAGGAATATGGATGTGGAAAGACAGAACAGCTTCACCCTTAGTTGCTGGAAATGGTAAATACCGTCTCTCGTAGAAAAGCATCAAAGGGACACGAAAACCATTTTTACATTCCTTGACCTGCATTGTGCTTTGAGAGATCCACATGGTACATTTTTTTCGTTTTGCTTTTATGTCCGTCATCAGAACCAGAAATCGAGAGGGAAGCATTACCAGTCTCTTCCGGGAAGGTGAAGCTCCGGGGAAGAAAAATCTTATTAACACATTCCTCATGTTTGTTTGTCCCTCAGATGTTGACATTTTATTTGGATCTTGACAAAGCTTGCTGGTCAGTACATTTTTCATGTGCCACATTGTGTGATCTGTATATTATTTTCTCCCCCCTTACTGCCTTTGGAAGACAAACTTGCAGGGTCTCTACTTGGGGTATTTGGAGCAGAAGGACTAGACTTGGTCAGGAAGCCACTGTACTTTGTTAAGACTGCACGTTTGCCTATAGGCCTTTGTAGGATATTACCAGCACTGATACACACGCATCACAGAGCAGACCCCTGGATTCTTAGTCTCAGCCCCCTCCCACAGGCTCCGAATTCACACACTCTGTCCATCGATCAGATGTGACATTTACGGTATAAAACTAGGGATACCTGGGAGAAACTCGGAGAAGTTGGCTGCACCCAGTGGCTCAGACAGACCATGTTAATTCATCTGTCTCCTAGTGGGAGTTTTTATTTTAAGTACTTTTAAACTCTTAAGTTATGTCCTCTTTTCTGGAGATCAATGAGACATGACTAGGAGATGTACAGAGACTTCTGAAGACAGCCACATTTGAGCTTCTTAATGCTCTTAGAGCCTGGAAGTAGCCACATGTGGTTTTCTCCAGATTCCTGGGATTCCCGTGGTGAAGCAGGCCTAACAGACACAGTTTGCCGCTAATCCCAATGTTGCTGCAGCCGCGTGGGTTCAAACTTACTCAACAGAGTCAGAAAACGCATCTGTGCAAATGCTCTCGTTAAGATAGTGCTCATTAGTAGTACTCCTGCTTCTAACAATATTATCCAGACAGCACACATTCTGTTATAAGGAGGAGAGGGAGGGAGGAAGAATGAAGGAAGGAAGGAAGGAAGGAAGGAAGGAAGAAGGAAGGAAGGAAGGAAGGAAGGAAGGAAGGAAGGAAGGAAAAGAAGGAAGGGAGGGAGGAAGGAAGGGAAGAAGAAAAGGAAAGAAAGGGAGGGAGGGAAGTCAAAAGAATTTCCACCTGAATAGTGAAGGGTCTGTGCCCTGGTGGCCTTTGCCATTCAAAGACATTTATATCTGATCTGGAAATAAAAAAAAAAAAACCAAGAAACCAAAAAAAAAAAAAAAACCCTATCCCAAGAATTCAAGACAGTCTTTTTCAAAATATATTTAAACTCCATCAGCTCTTCCAGAAACAAATGCGGACCTGGCTGAAAGCTCCCGCATCAAGTTGACCCCTGCAACGGACAGTTCCCCGACGTCTGATCTGTGCCAAGCGCACCAATCCTCAGACATCTACTACTAACCAAAGTACCCATGGTTCAGATTCTGTGACTGAGGAGCTGCGGTTCCTACAAGCAAGAACACTGGGAATCTCCCAGTCTTCAAACCAAAAACCCTTTAGCTCTGATAAAAAAGAAAGGGGGGGGGAGTGGTCTTCATTTTTCCGGAAGGGAGAGCAGAGGGCCCCTTTTCTGCCAAATGTTATCACCCACACTACCAGTTTTTTCTTGTCTCTGGGATCCAACAGCAGCAGTGTGGTACTTGGGTGATCTCTCCGTATCCCCCATCACTTAAAACATCTGTGAGAGTTTGGGGTTTGTTTTTTATTGCCGGATACAGAGCCCCTTGAAAATCAGGGAAGGGTGAAGGAAACTTATTATAATTATTATTATTTTCTCTAGTCCCTGTCTTTGACTCTTATAACAAGCTCTCTATGCAAAAGGGACACTTGGGGTGGGGGAGGGGTGCCCATGGTAAGCCACCGCCCCTTAGGAGAAAAGCCCTCGTCCTTCCCTCCAGGCCTTCATTCCTTACAGTGGGAAGCCCACTAGGGCGGGCACACAGTTTGCTTTCAGGGATGAGCCAACTCAGAGTAAAAAGAGTCTGGGGTCTTTGTTTTCCTATAAATCCAAGTATAACCAGCAGGGTGGTTCAGATGCCGAGACTGCTCGTTCTTTCTCAGATGATATTACCAGACACGCAGAACCCACGTCCTGGAACGAGATGGTCCTATAGTTCCGGAGCTGCTCAGGCTGTGCTAAGGAGCTGGCTTTGGTTCTAGAATCAACATTTTCAGAGGACCGCTGGCTAGGTTGAGATTATGCCCAAGAAGACGATTTCAAGACAGGGAAAGATCTGGGAAGAATTTCTCTATCCTCTATCTACCAGGGAAATTGTAATAGGACTCACTAGGGTCAACAACATAGCAGTAATGATTCTGATTCTAGGATTTGGTGATTTTCCCAATGGATTAGGACCAACAAACTCCTGAACATCTCATGCTTCTTTAATTGCCAGCTCCCATCATGGACGCTGGTCACCTGAGTTGCCTCTCTAAATGGTTTAACAGCTCCTGAGTGTTTATGGAAAGGGGGAGTATCATGGTGGGGATCCTGGATGTTATTCTAGTGTTTTCCAAAGGAAGGGAACCCACCCTGCTCCCTAGAGCTCCCCTCCAGTGGGCCTGCAGTGAGGAAAGAGGGGGCTTGAAGCCCTCCCTTGGAGAAACCCAAAGAGGTGCTTTGCAAAGAAATAAAAAAAGCCAGCATGCATTTTCCGTGGGGATCTGTGTGTTGTGTTCACATTGATCTCCCTTGCTCAACTATACATTACCAGAAAGAAATGTGGATTACCAGGAAAAGAAGCAATGGCTAAA